GTTCAAGACCAGCCTGGCCAACATGGTGAAACCCTGTCTCTACTAAAATAGGTGCTGGGTACCTGTAATCCCAGCTACTCAGGGGTCGAGGCAGAATTGCTTGAACCCAGGAGGCAGAGGTTGCAGTGAGCCAAGATCATGCCACTGCACTCCAGCCTGGCGACAGAACCAGACTCCGTGTCAAAAACAAAACAAACAAAAAAACCACCACACACACAACCAGGTAGGAGGGCTGAGACAGGTAAGTGGGCATTTGAGCTGGGCTATGGAAAAGGCATAGGACTTTCATCAGTAGAGGGGAGGAGGACATGCCATTTGAAGGGAATAGTTTGAACACAGGAGACTGAAGAGGCTGAGGTGGAGGGGGTGACAAAGAAGGCAGAAGCACTGAATGGTGGATTCATGCAGGGCGATCCACCATTGCAGTGGGAGGTGAGCCTGGAGAGAGACCAGCTTGATGTGGAGAGCCTTGAATTCAAGTTAAGGAGTTTAGGTTTTTTTATTTTGAGATGGAGTCTTGCTCTGTTACCCAGGCTGGAGTGCAATAGCGTGATCTTGGCTCACTGCAGCCTCCTTCGCCCAGGTTAAAGTGATTCTCCTGCCTCAGCCTCCCCAGTAGCTGGGGTTACAGGTGCATGCCACCATGCACAGTTAATTTTTGTATTTTTGTAGAGCTGGGGTTTCACCATGTTGGCCAGGCTGGTCTTGAACTCCTGACCTCAGGTGATCCACCCACTTCGGCCTCCCAAAGTGCTGGGATCACAGGCATGAGCCACTGCGCCCAGCCAAGGGGTTTAGGTTTTAAGAGACGTGGGTAACAGAAAGCAGTTGGGAGAAAAGCTGTGTTGGAAGAGAAGCTGAGGCAGCGCTTGCTTGTCAGCTAGACTTGCTGGCTCCTTGCTTCTAGCACTCCCATTATCTCAAGTAGTCATATGTTATATGTTTCTCAATCACTTGATACACTGTTTCCTTTCAACCCCCACATCCTCACCACCTGTTTCTTTGAGCACCAATAAATACTGTGGGCTCCCAGAGATCAGGGCCTTCACAGCCTCCACAGGATGGCTGCCTGGTCCCACTTTCTCTCTCAAGCTTGTCTTTTTCTAATTCCTTTGACTCTGCCAGACTTTGTTGCCCCCATGACCTGGTGTTGGGTCTGATCACCCCAACATTTCCAACGTGAGGTGACAAAGACCCTGGTGAAGGAACGCTAGAGCGTGTGAAAGCGGGGGATGCATCGTCAAAGGACACCCGAGGGCGTCTAAACAAAGCTCGACAGGAAAGCTGAGTGCTCAGAAGAACTAGGGTAACAATGGGATAAAGTGAAAGCAGATATTCTGCTTATTTAAATTTCTTAAGGCATTTATTACGAAGAGGGGGAGTGAAAGTTAGTACTCAGAATTTGTTATCACTCTTTAGTACAGTAAAGCAGTTTTGCCCATGGTTTCCGAAATAAGGGACTATGGAGTTAGATGAATGGCAGAGAATTGGCGGAGATTTTTAAAAGGCGTATAAAGAGCAGAAATTGGAGTTTCTGTTTGGTCAGTGTGGGCGCTAATAAAGGCAGCTCTTCAGCCATTTCAAAGAGATGATGAGGCAGATTCAGAGGAGGACGAGTGTAAAAAACTAACTTCAGATTCTGAGTGTGAGGAACAGCTACCGGAGGAGATTAAAGAAAACTAAAAAAAGTATGTTCTATTAGCCTGTCAGCTCCACCTGCTGAATTAAGTGAATGGCCACCTCCTCTCTCTCCAAATGGGTGAGAAGATGAATTAGCTGAAAAACTTACTGCTTCTGAAGTTGCAACATTAAAACCTGGAGCAACTGGTGGTGCTATACAAAGTTATACTCAAAAAGCTAGAGTCGAGGGAGACTTGAAGCATGGCAATTTCCTGTTACTATCATCCAGCAGAGAGGACAGAATACAGCTAATTGGCCACTTTTCCTTTTAAGTTACTAACCGTATTTAAGCAAGCCGTTAGTCAATACGGACCGAACTCTCCTTTTGTGCAAACTCTATTAAAAAATATGGCTCTTGATAGTAGATTAATACCATGTGGCTGGGATACTTTGACAAAATCTGTTCTCACTCCATCTCGGTATTTGCAGTTTAAAACCTGGTAGGCTGATGAAGCTCAAACTCAGGTAAGGGAAAACATACAAGCACAGCCACCTGTGCCTGCTTCCTTTGAACAGTTAATGGGACTTGGCCCTAATTGGGGTCGATTAGAGAATCAAACAGTAATGGAGGATGTTGCCATTGTTCAGCTGTGCTTTGTGTGCTTACCAGCATGAGAAAGGATAAATGTTACAGGGGAAAAATATCCTTATGTCAGTTCTGTCTGACAAGGACCCAAAGAACTGTATATTGATTTTATTGCTCCACTCCAAGAGGCTGTGTATAAAGCCATAACTGATAAAACGGCTCAGGATGTAATACAGCTTCTTGCATATGATAATACTGATGCAGAGTGTCAAACTGCTATTAGACCCCAGAGAGGGAAGCCTTATTTAGCTAAATATATTAAGGCTTGCATTGGCATTGGAGGTAACTTACATAAGGCTACTCTTTTAGCTCAGGCTATGGCTGGATTAAGAGTAGGAAAGAATATGCCCCGTTTCTCAGGCTCTTGCTTTAATTGTGGGCAATTTGGACACACAAGAAAGGAATGCAGAAAAGGAAATCAAAAGCAAACATTTCTACCATCAGTCAACAGAAAAGTCCTGGCATATGTCCCTGGTGTAAGAAAGGCAAAAACTGGGCAAGACAATGTCATTCTAAATTTAGCAATGATGGACAACCTCTTTCGGAAAACGGGAATAGGGGCCTGCCTTGAGCCCCTCAACAAACTGAGGCATACCCGGCACAGCCAGTGCCCTGTGCAGCAACTGTCCCCTGCCTCAGCAGGCAGTGTGGCCATAGACCTCTACAGCACAATTCCTGTCTCCTTATGAGAGGTGAAGCCGGCTGGGCTTCTGAATCAGGTGGGGACTTGGGGAACTTTTCTGTCTAGCTAAAGGATTGTAAACACACCAATCAGCACTCTGTGTCTAGCTAAAGGTTTGTAAACGCACCAATGAGCACTCTGTAAAGTGGACCAATCAGCAAGATGTGAGTGGGGCCAAATAAGGGAATAAAAGCTGGCCACCCGAGCCAGCAGCAGCAACCTGCTTGGGTCCCCTTTCATGCTGCGGAAGGTCTGTTCTTTCGCTCTTCACAATAAATGCTGCTGCTCACTCTTTGGGTCCGCACTACTCTTATGAGCTGTAACACTCACTGCGAGGGTCTGCGGCTTCATTCCTGAAGTCAGCGAGACCACGAACCCACCAGGAGGAACAAACAACTCTGGACACGCCACCTTTAAGAGCTGTAACACTCACTGCGAAGGTCTGTGTCTTCACTCCTGAAGTCAGCGAGACCACAAACCCACTGGAAGGAAGAAACTCCGGACACATCTGAACATCTGAAGAAACAAACTCCAGACACACCATCTTTAAGAACTGTAACACCACGAGGGTCCGTGGCTTCATTCTTGAAGTCAGCAAGATCAAGAACCCACCAGAAGGAACCAATTCCAGACACACTTCCTGGGGAGCCACCAAAGAAGGTCCCCATGGGAGTTAGGGGACCCTTATCCTCAGGAACAGTCGGTCTATGACTT